CAGAATATCCTTCTTTTTTTATTTTTCTTTAGAAATATATCAACAACTACAATAAAAGATTAGAACACTAGGTCATATGTCTACAAATTACAACTTCTGTGTTTGTTACATTCATCCAACTAAATTTCACACCAACAGGCAACTCTCAAAGATAAAAACGCATAGTAACTGGTCCCATGAAGGCCCTGGTCTGAGAGTCAGTCCAGGAGCAGCTTGTTACTCTCAACAAGTTTTTTTTTCTTTTTATTCTTCTGCGAATAAAAAGCTTTTCAATAGTACTAACATGAAAGATTTTTCATTGTTAAATTTCACACAATCATTGCCTATTCCACCCAATACTCTCACATGCCACAAAACAGATTTTTAAAATGTTTAACCAACAACCATTCTTTTGAAATTCACACATTCAGGAACATAAAAAAAAAGTTTTCACTTGGAGTCTTTCTTCTTTTTCTTCTTTTTCCTCTGTTCTTCTGAGCTTGAAGAATCTGAAGACAGGGAGGAATCTGATGAACTTGAGGAGCTAGAAGATGACGATGAAGAAGATGAACTGGATGATGAATCAGAATCAGAATCCGAGTCTGATGACGAAGAAGAAGACGAAGATGATGATGAAGAAGATGAAGACGAGGAATCTGAGTCACTTGAGTCACTGTCCTCCTTTTTCTCCTTTTTCTTTTTATGTGATGCCAATGTTTTTCTGAAAGACAAAAACAAACAAACAAAAAATGATTAAGTAGAGTGGCTTCAAAACATCAGTTAGTGCCGCATTACAATCTAAAGCTAACATAAAAGTCTCACTTGACCTTAACTCTTAAAAGTCAGGAAATATCCAAGCTTCTCATACACATGCACTGGGGAATTTTTGGTTACAACTTCAATGCACCAAATTTTCAGCAAAGAATAAGTTCGGACATTTTTTTGGACACCTTCTGATGTCTTTGATCCTGTGTGTACAACTGTCTTTATTATTTTTTTAGGGCTAAAACCTTTACCACAAAATGGACTTCAGATACTAGAGCAAAGAATAAGCCCCCCCCACTCAAATAATACACTTACAGTTTTTCACTGACCCTTTTTTCAATCCTGTCCTGTTATTATTTTCAAACATAAAAGAATTAGTTGCCAAACCTTAAATGTTATCATCTTAATGCAAAACAATTCTGGCAAACAATCTTTTAACTTATTATATGTAACACTTCTAGTCTCAAGAATTATCATCCAGCATTTACTGTTTATCAATCCATTTTTGATCACTAATACATAAAAAAAAAAGAAAATCCAAATCTACAAGCCCTTATTTTGATGGCAAGCAGAACCCTAATCAAACATACACGAAGACTTCAGTTTCACAGACCTCCATTAACGGATGTCAGAGGGAACGGACAAATCTGTGTTGTGATGGAGTTGTGGTAATACAGGACATAAGCCACTGCTTCCCAACCTGTCCACAAGCTGTCCACTAGTAGGCAGTGCCCTCACTTTGCACAGTGTAGCTTATTGACTGTTTGTTTTTCCCTTATTTGTGTCACTATTTAAGTGGTTAACTATTTACCCTTTTCTATAACCACATTGCTTGATGGAAGAGTAGAAAAGTGAAGAAATGTGAATTTAGCAGTAGCACTAAATTTGGAGTTGATCAGAAAATGATGCATCTGTGACGATGTGGGAGGTATATGGTTTAAAAAAAAAATCAGTTTCAGATATACATTAGGTAAAATCTAAACTTATCGAATATGGTCAGAGGTGTATTATACAGTATTCACATTGAACAGGTATTTAACATTGTCAGATTGGATGGTGTAATCGATTAAAAGTGCAGTACTGAAATATTGTGATTTCCTTAATAATGTAATTGCTGGTAGCTATTAGCCACAGTTTCAGTAACTACAATCAAGCAGAGATATTGAGTCAACATCTCCCTCTTTGTCCATTTAAATGAGGTCTGACTGGTTGGTTTAGTACTGGCCCTCTGGTCTCATGCCCGGAGTGACCTAGGTTCAAGGCCAGGTCAGGGAGGATTGTTATATATTTCTATCCTGGTTTTTGTAAATGTCATTCTAGAAAGTATTAAAAATAAAAAGTTTCTCTTGATCTTTCTTTCCCTTCTATTTTACCATATATTATGTTCCTTACTGAAACACGGAGATGGAAAAAGTCACTCATAATAGCAAAATGTGGAGACTACATACAAACAACAAAGAAATTGAACACTGCAGACTTTACTTTGTTGTTGTACTCAGCTAGTAATACAAAGATGCAAATTACATAAACCTATTTTCTTCTATCATATTTCTTAACCCCTGAAGCCTAAGCTAAGTCAATCATGGCAATAAATAAGTTTCCCTTCCCATCCGAGTCGCCTTGATGGAGCATCACCTTTTAAAATTCGGTGAGCTGCTTTCCTGCCTATATTTGGCAGAGAAGGTCAGCTAGTATAACGGGTAGTGATGCATCTTTCTTCCACCCTCTACGTGATCCTATTCCCACACTATCCAGGGCTTTCTCTTATGTGTCAGGGTGAGCTCTTCCACTTGATCCTCACTTTGTACTCCAGATATCAGATGCCATTCTCACCTTTCCCAGCCACCTTCCCCTATGGCCACTTCCCCTACAAATATGTGTTCTAGTACAATACATTTGTTTTATTAAAAATTAATAATAATAATTCCATTTTCTTTTGTATAAATGAGGTAACTTTTTCAATATTGATACTCCACTGTTTACTAACTATTCACTTGCTTGTACATTCTCAGTGAGAATGAACATTTTTCTCACTGTCCCCAGTAAGAAAATCTTCCTTTCAGAACTTCCCTGTCTCTAATGGTCAAATAAGTTTTTAACATCTGAAAATACCATGCAGGACATCCTAAAAAACAAGAGTTCCATCCTGATCTATTCGAAGAAAAAAGAAAAGAAAAGAAAAGAAAAAAAAAAAAAACTATGAAATACGTTACTAATCAATCAATTCATATTGATTCTGACAAAAGAACTTTAATGAGGTCGAGTTGAAAAGTGCCATCAACAAAGGAAGTCTGACGCCCTCTGAATTTTTACCATTCTGGGAATACTATTCAATACATCAAACAAATGAAATAAGAACACAATACATGATACCCTGATAATCATAATAACAAATGGAAAATACACCAATATTTGTATCACTGTTTGCATACTTCTGAATATAAATATTGGCTGCCTGTTCTTAAAACCTTATGCCAACTGGTTATTACTAGGAATGGACTAATTTTACAAAATTATATATCCAAAGTCAACAGTCTTATATTTTTATGCATTCAAACAATAATAGCTAAGGATTTTAAAAAATTCTTGATTCTTTCAAATATCTATTTGCTGCAGAGTTAAGTCCCTATAGATCATATATGCCTATTTGTTAGAGTATGGAAGGATATTAAAATATAGGAACAGGCTATACTCTTCATATTTCTTTTTGTTTATAACTTACTACATAGTATATATCGCTGTAACAGCAAAACAACAGAACAGACTGTTATCTGTGCAAGGCGGCAAACTTTTCTAAGCATTGAAGCAACTTCAGAGATATAGACAGTCTATCAAATAAAAGGAGTAAACACAGCAGATGGCATTAAACCAAAAAACTGAAAGTAAAAATTTTAAACCTAATAATAAATTAGCACTATAACAACTCAAATAGCAAGCAATGCTGGTAACTTATGAATGTAAGCAAATCTTTTTACACGTACTGTACATAGCCATACAAATACAAAGGATAAGTTGGTAATTTACTACAATCTAGACAAGGAGTGGATACACTTTCCAGGTTCCTTCCCCAAAAGAATAAAGCTTATCATACATTTAAAACAAAGGAAAAGGCTTGAGAACTTACAAGTGTTCTACCTGTTGCTCCTGTTTCTCTTGTTTCAGCCGTTTGTTAAGTACAGATGTGCGTGAGTCTCTGTGCACATACTTTCTTTTGCCTTTGCACTCATAGGTCCAATGGCCAAATTCCAAGCACTTCTGACAACGCACATTTTCTGCTGAAGGCTTTCTGAAAAGGTCAGGAAAGTAATTAGAAACTGCACATCAATTATGAAGAATATGGCTTAACATATAACAAGGATATTATCTTCTGCTTTCATTCAACATGAATGTGCAGTCCACACACACACACACACACACACACACACACACACACACACACACACACACACACACACACACACACACACACACACACACACACACACACACAAAAAAAAAAAGGGGGGGGGGAGAATAACACACTTATCTTATTTATCAAGACCCAACTGCAGCTTTGATTGCCTTTTTGTAAATGCAAAAGAAATTAAAATATCTTCTGAAGTACTTCTGGCTACTCAAGTTTAGTTTCCTTTTCACTGTTTTTACACTAGCCAAATTTCCAAACAAAAGCTCCAGCCATCGTGATTTGGTTTGTGTAAAGGATATATAAGTTCTAAAGGAAATACATTTCCCAATGAAACACATTATGAAAAGGCAGGGTTTGAATTCATGGTCACTGTCATAGCTGGACAATTTGATTATCAACAGAATGGATGTCATATACATATTTTGAACCATAAATATATTGCAGTTTTCTTCAGTCTATAGGACAAATATTGGAAAGTTCTCCAAAACTGGAATAACTTTATAAAAGTTTTTCTTTTAATATGATGATATTTATAATATTCCTTTGTTATCAATTTCATTACTATAAGAAATGTTCTGTTAACCCATTCGCGCCAGGTAAAAATGAACAAAAAATGGGGGAAAATGCTTTGCACATTTTTTATACTTTTTGTGAAATTTCTCTACACTAGATGGCTTTGCCTTACCTGATTTCATTTGGCAGGAAAATGTATTTTTTACTAGTGCTATGAATATCGATGGTTATTTTTATTATAAACATTATAATTACTATAATGTTATGAACATTAGTAACAGCAAAATAAGATAACGTAAAATATTTTCATAAATTAAAGAAAAGGAAGCTCTACACTAAATTTACACTAAAACACAAGCTGTTCTGACAGCTTGGCCTGGATAACTGCCCAGCATTAATCATTCTGTCTTGTAGTGAATGCAAGCACATCTCTTGCAGTTGTTCAGTTAACTAAAACTGTTATATGTAATTTTAGTAGCGTAAAATACTGATGCAGATTATTCTCAGCATAATCTGGTGAAGTCAAACAGGCTTATTACTTGACTCCTTGGTGGCTGAGCACTTGCTGAGTCATCTATGTTCATGCAGTTTGTTTCCTTTCATTGAAATGAACTCATTTGAATATATCATTTTTCTTTTCACCAATACACTGTGTTGACCCCATGAAGGGCAACACATTACGAGCTCTTTTCATGGAAAAGTATCCAATATAAGAAAGGTGTGCAGTCCTTAGCCAGAGTGCCGACAGGAATGGGAATATATAAAATGTATTTATTAAATCCCATGGGGGTCCTTGGGATTATTGAGGGAATATATATCGTGGGGATTCAGGGAATATATAGATCATAATGAATAAATCCCATGGGGCTAAGGTTAGATTTATCACATCAAGATTGTCAACTGTGACTGCGATGGAAATGATAATCAGGTTCATTTTCATCACAAGCGAATAAATCTGATGCCATAAATATTGTCTGGGAAGGCCCGACTGTCATAGCAAAAAAAATTAACCAACCTTCTATAGTATCACATAAGAGTAAATCCTAAAGATTAATGTTACTGAGAGTGACAAACAGATAGTGGACACTGCCATCTCATAGAGCATAAAAAACAGAGTAGGAAGCAATACACGTACTTCTACAGAGGATATATATTTTCTGGGAAATGATGAAAATAGTCCCTAACACTCTCACGCAGAGTTCTTAATGTCGCATGTTCTATAGCTCCATTTTATACATTTTCTATAATTACGGCACCGACCATAAGAGTTACATTTTCTGTCGACAAACCTGGAAATCATTTATGGTTAATTCTTTATTTTTATCATTATTTTTTCATATTCCTCATTAGCTTTTTCTCGTTTTTTGATGCTAGTAGATTTCTTTTGTTGTTTTCTCAAATGTATATTGTTTCATTTAGTTTTTCCTTCATATTTCTATTATTCATTCTAAACAATTTAGCGACATTATAATTGTCTCCCATATCAGAACAATACAACCAGGTTGACCTCTTGATTGATGTCTGCCGGTTACACAGCTTTTCTTATGAATCTGCCCTTAGCGTCTTTCAATTTCCAAACAAGACTATTTGTGATTGGGCAGCTCAACTATACCCTTGACACTGATGGTTTGTGCAATCTTTTTTTTTTTTTTTATAACAAATATGTCACTTGGCACAAAATGCTAATAAAGGGGGGTGGGTACAGAGGGGGCTTGTCCACCCCTGTCTAGGGAATAAATAAATAGGTAAGGTTAGGCTTGGATTCCTCGGTTCATATGATACACAATGTCTACTTACATGAGACTAAACAGTTTATTATAGTTGCAATGTTTGAAACTTGGTTGCTTTTTCTGAAAATCGACTTTTAGCACTTGTTAACTATTTTCTTCCAAGTTCATCGGACATTGGCTCGTGTTTTCGAGAAATTAACATTTAAAGTTTTTTCAGGACACAAACTTTGGCTTGGATTTTTTTTTTTTTCTATTTACTTTTTATTGTTTCATAAATCCCTGTCTTTGATTTCTTTAGGTTTCTATTGACATCCAGTGCCATCCATTATTCCCCCCTTTCAAACCCCAGCTCCGTATTTTTCCTTCAAGATTGTTGGAGAAAGAAAAATATATTTTTAAAAAGTTTGCTTTTAGGACTAGGTCTCTGGAGGGAGCATTGATATTAGTAACAACTACCCTACTTAATTAACCCAATGGTGACTAGTGAAGAAAAAAAAACAAAAAAACTCTACGCTCTGGCAAACAATGGCAGCGCGCCGACTTTGAGCGCGTGAGTTCGGTACATCAGCCAGAATCACTGGCTCGCCACGCTTTGGCGCGCTGCCGCAGCGTACAGCCGCACGCCACTTTTAGAGTGTTTTGTTTTCACACCTAACATCGTCACCTATCTTGAAGGGGTTAATTAACTGATGCCTTCCCAACCACTGTCTTTGGACTTCATAACCTTCATAAGCTTTACTATAGTATTACCTATAAGTAACATACAAGGTATTAAACTATGTATGCCTTGCACTGTTAATCTCGTTCTAAATCTCTGACAGAAATAAGAATAAGTCAAAATCCACAAAAATGCCTCACGGCTGCTCAGACAACAGTAAAGCGTCGTTCTGGCCAGAACCCCTTCAATCTCGAACGACCACAGAAGCTGAAAAAAAGTTATTCTACCTTCATTCAGCTACATAATCCTCGCCAATCAGCCTCTGAACTCGCAGTGGGTGCAAATCACGTTCCAAAATCAGCGACACCCCCCCAAAAAAAAACTTAAATACCACCGCGCAATAGACCACCGCGAACTTACGGCCTCGAGCTGAGCAGGCCGCCGGCGCCCACGGGCATGCTGGGGCCTCGGGCGTCGCCTCCGGAGACAGCCTTTTTTCCCTCCTCCTCTCCTCTTCCTCTAGCTTTTCTCTTTCCTTCCTCTTCTCCCTCCTCTTCTCGCGGAGAATCACAAAATGCGGTCGGAAGCCTCGGCGCGCGTCTCTCCCTCTTCTTCTTCTTCTTCTTTCTTCTTTTATAGGGTTTTAGACTCTTTTTTGTCTATATCATCTGGATCTATTTTCTTTCTTCTTTCCTTTTCTTTATATTATTTCTATCAGTTTCGTTTTCTTCAGGAATATTTTTGTGCGTCTTAAAATGTAGTTCTTCTT